TTGAGAATGGAAATGGGGAATGCATGTGTCAAAGTGACATCAACCCGACCACAGAGCAGAAAACAGCCGAAGGCCACCAATGGGTCTTCAACACAGCGAGAAAATCCCGCACCCGGAGGCGTGCTTCAGCTGGCTCCTAAACAGACACCAAGTGATGGATACAATTGTGGCTTATATTGTTTAATTAATTTTTTAGAGCAAAAGATTAATTGATTGTTGGTTGCTTAACGTCCAGTGGCAAACATTTCATGCATATTCAGGACGACAAAACTTTTCAGAAAAAGATTATGAAGTACTAGGTATAACAAATGTTAAAATTTTCTCATCATTGACCTTTCAATACAATTTTGTTTATGATATGATCTTTCGTTGTCTTTCTATGGTTATGAAGTCATAAAGTATGTTCTATATATTCTAAGTTAGCATATCTGTACAGTTTGTCATTTTGACTTTTTTTTATTTTGCCATGGCGTTGTCAGTTTGTCTTTGAATAATAAGTTTGAATATCACTTTGGAAATGTAATTCCGCCTTTTTACAAAAATCATGAGATTCAAATTTGATAAGATGAAAGATTATATTTTAGACTAATACGTATGCACATCTGTACAATTTAATGAGATTCTTGATCGGGGGTAAACAATTCCTCTATCTAACAGAACAAGTATCGATTTGCATATTTGTAAAATTTAATGTCAGTGGTACACACAGTGGCGGATGGGGGGGGGGGGGGGGCGGCGGATTTTGGACCCCCTTTTGTTAATAAGGACATACGGTTGGATCCCCTCCCTTTATCCTTGGTTGGGAACCCCCATTTAAAAAGACTGGATCCGCCACGTGCACTGTACACAGATTTAGTCCGCATTGTTTTCCGGGCAGAATAGACCACCACTGTTACTAATTTTTATAGTTGTAAATATTTACGCTAAATTTTGTTAATAAAGATAGGAACAGTTACAATTGTGTGGTTATAGATTTCGTAAATTTGTTTTCTGAATCCATATAGCAAGTGGCATGACATCATAATGGTGAATCGGGGAAATCACAGAAAGCTTATGGAAATGTTAGATTTTTTTTGATATATGACAATAGCGCAAAAAGTATCAAATATGTTTTAATAGAGAAAAAAAAATGACTGTAGCTGTAATAACTATATTTTTATTTGTTTTTAATTGTGTCGCTCTTTGATGACCACTTATGAAACCTGCATTTTCGTCTTTCATTCTTACGTACGTCTAGAAATTTACAGAACTCAAATTATGTATCTGAATAAAAGGAGTTGTCGGTTTTATTTACGTCAATTATATAGCAAACAAACCAAAAACAAAAACAAAAACCAAGAGACATCCAGAGAGCAAAGTGGATTTTTCGGCTTGCAGTACAAACTAAGTATAAGTATAAAGAACAGTTATATTATAACTATACCACGTCAAAAGTTCTCTCGTTCATTTCATTCCATAGTAGAGTGAAATGACTAACTTTCATTTGACCTTTAAAGAGGCAGAATTAGTTGACACAAATGTTAAGCCTTTTTGCATGGCTGATTGTATATATTTATGTTGAACATGTTAAATTCAAGGCGATCTTGTAGCGAACGCACAACCCTATACTGTGTTTGGTTTTTCTACGATATCTAGTTAAGAAAAAACTTTATTATCGGAGGGGTGAAACGAGGGAGAAAATAATATGTCTTAGATACACATTAAGGGCGTTAGCCCGAATGAGCGCGTATTACTTACACCAAGATAAATTGAATATTGTCAATGCAGAATGACAAATTCAATAATTTAGGACAGGGACTTTCAATACTAACGGATTCCCTGTTAAGGAGGAGATCTTTTAACAATTTGACAATATGCTATTGAAATGCATGAAAAATGCAGGGTATCAAGTTTTATTTATCGACATCTTTGTGTAAAAAAAGATACAATTTTGCTAGATAAATAGAAAACAATAACACATTTCCTTGCATAATCTTATCTAAAATTATTGAAAATTATCATAATTTATGGGTATTGTTTTAACATGATACACCAAAGCCGAATTTTGTATGTTTGCATTACACACTTGCACTGTTTGGATTAACGTATCAATTAGAAGGTAGGTTAGAAAATCACAAAAAAAGAATTAAAGGACAAAACGCCATTATATGGTTTTCCGGATAATGTTTTTTTTTTGGCAAATATTAAAAAAAAAATCTTAAACTTTTACATATACATAACATTTTAGGTAAACACCTAGAGTTACATATATACCAGCATACATTTTTGATAGGAAAAAAATGCTATCAAAGATACTTCAGAAATGCCTAGCTCCATGCCTAAGAAATATACATCTTTTTTATTGTTCACATTTATTTAACCTCCATTCAACAATGGGAAGGAACATTTGCCTCAGCTGTGAAATGAATTGATTTAAAACGACTTTTAACATATTTACTTCTGTCTTGTCAATATCTTAGCATAGAATATGATCAGAATATGGTCTGTGTATAAAACAAGTATACCGCTGTAATAAAAGCACTAGACAATTTATACATGTAAATATATGCTACTTCCAAAAGAATTTTGTTTTGTTTTTAGTTTTTAATTATTTTTTTTTCCTAATCGTTTATTTTTTAACCACTAAATTTGCGGTTTTGTGATATGTTCGTGCAGTTTTAACAATGTCGTCAATAGTGTTCAGAAAGAAGCTATTATAAAATGTGTCAGAACCTTAAATTACACATACATGAACGGAGCTATGATACCATGACAGGTGTACATATGATGTAATTGTGAAATAGCCATTGTAATTGCCAAGTTTTTGATAGTTTAAGGATCATTTTTGATTAGTGGCACGTGCCATCGAATTCAATCTTTATTGACAGAAAATATTAAATAACGAATACATTTATTACTATTATAGGAAGAAAAAAACGAAGAAGAATTATTTGCTATAGTGCAACTTGAATAAACAAATAAATACATAATTATTTTATATTAAATAAAATTGTTATTAAAATGAAAGAAAGGATTAACGCATTTACAAGGATATATACTCGATGCTGAACTTAAATTAGGTTGTATTGTTTTAACGAAAACTTCTATGAGGATCTGGAGGGGGTCCTTTATTTCTGTATTCTTTAATTTTTTATGCCGATTTTCTCTATTCTTTAAACTTTTTGTCTATTATTATCAATTCTTTATATTCAAGCACCTTATTATTCTCTATTCTTTATTTTTTTTATCCATTTTCTCTATTCTTTATATTTATTGCCACTCATTCTCTATTCTGTAACCTCCTCCCCGCCCCCTCCCATCAACATCTTCTTCTTTCCGATGGTATGTTATTTATAGTTTTATTGTCTCGTCACGGTCTAAGTGCAGTTTTCAGAATATTAACTGCACTCGGAGACATGGTTCCCTGATGCGGCCTTGGTGACTACGCATCACTACGAAATAAAAGCAAAAAAAAAAGAAAAAAAGACGGTTGTCCAAATATAAAAAGAATAACACGTACGGGGAATGATTACTAAATGCCACGAAGTAATTATTAAGTTTTAGAGGAAAGTATCGAAAGATAACGAAATTAAGGATATAAATTATCTGACATAAAACATATTTGTATTTACGTTGATCGTTCCCGATGAAGTTAAATCAAGAAACGTGCTTCAGACGCATGAAATTTATAAGGTGTTTTCACTCTTTTGATAATGTTATGTTTAAAATTTGCAATTACTTCTTTTCAAAGAATAAGTAGATAAATACATAAATTAACATCAGAAAATAAAAAATAAAATAAAATCATAAACAGTTATAGGCGAATAAGTTATTTCCTCAACAAAACAAAATCACTAATCTCTTAAAAAAAGACCAACAGAAATAAAAAGTCAACCAATGATTTTATGTTTAATTATTAAAAATATACGTTTTTCATTCTAGCATTTATATTGTAATTTTTTTATAATTAAAATGTATCATCCACATGAAGGGGCGTAACTCCTAATATCATTCTGACACACTAAACGGATCTTAACCCGATCTGAAAATTTTGAACATTACTTTTTATGTTTGGTCTGAATTCGTCTAAAACCGTCTTAACATATCTTGTTTAACAGCTAGAGCCTTCTGTCTTGTTTATCTTGACATGAATGAACGGACTGAACACGACATATCTGAACAGCGTCTGAAAGTCTTAAAAAGTCTTAACGTTTTTCCCTAGCGGTAAATTCAGTTGATTCAGACTTGATCAGACCAAAATGACCGTTTCAGACTGAAATCTTGCTACTAGTGGAAGCTGCAACAAAATAACTTGGTATAAATCTAGATATGAAAACATGTGGCCTTAAATAATTTCTACAAACACAATATGATTGAACTTGAATTGATTAATTACTAAATATATCAGGCAAATTTGACCCATGCAGGATTGTGCTCCCAACAATCTTTTGCCCTCCAAAATTTGAATTGTGACCTGTAACTTGGTTGCTTATATTACAGCAAAATTAGGGTTTAGCAAACTGGAATCCAGTTTATGATAATTAAATACAATTCAATAAAAGCAACAGTAGCATACCGCTGTTCAACATTCATAAATCGATTAAGCGAAAATACCAGTTTAGATAATTATTCTGCTACACTAAGAAAGATTCCTGGTAGAAAATTTTTCTGGTAGGAATAAATTAATACTGTTCAACCTAATAGCAGGAATTTGTAATAGGAAAATCCAACTGTAAAAAATTAAAATTTTCCTAGTACACCTAAAAAGTAGCAGGAATCTTAGATTCCATGATCATTCTAGGCAGATTCTTACTATAATCTAGTAATAATCTTACTACATATTTCGTACGAGGCATGATGATATCTGTCAATTATTATATTAAGTTCCGATGTATTAACATGTGAAGACTTCAATAATAATAAGAGTCACACCTGAAATTTCCTTTTCGAAGAAAAGCACATATTTGATAAGTCATTTCAAAACACTACTGTTCTTCAAAGGCTGTTTAAATGCTTTCCAGGTTTTTGAACACGTGCAGCATTATGAACGTATATTACCGATGAAATGGAATGCACTACCAGAGAGGGCCATAACATTCATACCAAAGACACCAATGTCGTATCCAGACTCAACACCAGATACTGATGTATATAAACCTTAACATTGTTTCGAACATCTAAACATTTCTCAGTCGATCACATGTAGTAATTGCCTTAATAAGAAATTTAGAATGAGGCTATATAATTAAAGGCGACAGTAGTTTATCGATATTCAAATCTCCTAAATCAAACACAAACCGAGGGAATCTAAAACTCTAAAAGTTGCGAGACCGGATGTGTCACAATTTAGTTCTTACAAAACAGATAATAAAAAACCGAGATGCAATAAGAATTAAAGAGAGAGAGAGAGAGAAAAAAAAAGGTAACAATCTCGGCGAAAATGAAAAAAAATAAGATATTGTACATTTAATTAACGTTCTCAAAAACATAAACCAACCAAAAAAACCCAACAAAAGAAAAAAACAAAAAACCAGTGAATCAAGGTGTTTCTGAGATATTAGCAGTTCAAGAAAGAAATTGACTTAAGAAATAACCTTTAATTGTTCAAACTAACAATATCATGAATATAGCTATATTGATTTTGTTAAAATATTTTTTCTTTGAACAGCCGCAAAAACGTAAAAAATTGTATATTAAGCGGTATAAGTAATGAAACAGTCAACATTATCTTAGCTTGCCCCTCCACTATTGATTATCTTGTCGTCTTATCTGAAATAAAGATGTTATGTTCCTAACAAATAAATATTTGTTATAATGATCAATATTATGTTGCAGATTTTCACTTTAAACATATTTGTTTTGATATTCTACTTTCAGGCACGACCACAAGATAAAGATTGATTAAAATGGACGTTGTCAAATCATGATAACTTATTAAACTATTGAAGGAAAAACTCTGACAGATATTTGTTTTAATTAATATTAATACATATTTGTAAATATTTTAAGAGAATCCTTTGTAGAATAACCAGAAAAAGTAAAAATCGGGGATAATTTCACAAACAGTATCATGAGTATTGTGAATTTAATATTCATTTTTATTGATAAGAGCAACGTATATTGATTGTTTCACTTCAAATATGAAAATAACGAACGATACACTTACCATACAACAAGTGTCGATGCATCATACATACATAAAACTTCAAAAGACATTTAAAGGGCAGCACTCATAATTCGTGTTTATAATGGTCTGAAAGATATTATATAATTATATTACTTTATAATAAAACTCAGACAAAACAGGATGGATAACCTCGGGTATTCTTGGCAGACGGTAAATCTATTCCTAATAATTATTCAGTTGGATATGTACCGGTTGATGTTTAGGTCTCCGTACACACGATTGTCTCATTGGTAATCATACCACATCTTCTTATCTTCATATCAAAGTTCTCTTTCTTAATATTGTTTACAAGAAGCCTCTTATATAATTCACTCAAGGTGAATATCAAGAATTATCTAGTAGAAACTCCCGTGTTAACGAATACCGCTTATGATGTTTTCGTTTTCTGGCAACATGTTGTTTTTATTTTTATCTCCTGGATATTCATACAAGCTTAACACCCCATGCTTTACTAACTTTCTCTGGTGTTGATTTTCCTTGCGTTTGAGAAGGTTTGCGTATTGGTTTTGATAGGGGCCTCTGCCAATATCGTAATATATAGAGACTCTTGTCATCCTCTTATCTTTGTCATTTCGTAGAAATTGGCACGTTATCAGATATAGACAATGGCATGTTTTGTGAGAGATCTATTTTATTCAAGATAATTCGAATAACTGATATAATTTAACTTTGTGGCGTATTTTACTACTGCATTTGTCGGCTTCATGACTCTCCACACTAGTTCTCTGAGCTTCTTCTTGGTTGCTTCATTTGGCATACCGATTGAAGAAATAGCTTCAAGCTACTCCTAATTTTTTGAATTGCTGCAGCCTGTTCCAATTTTTTAGAGATGCTCAAAGCTACTATTTACTTGCTTACAGTTGCTCCATTTATTCTTTCAGATGTCTGGATTGCTCCTAATTATTTCCGAGGTGCTCGAAGCTACTCTGATTATTTGACGTGGTGATTGAGGTTAATCGTTAGTTTCTACAATTGGGTGTGACAGACTCTGATTTGTATTGGTATGGTTTTACCAATTTTTATTGTCCCTTTCACCATAAGCTACTTCAGCACCACGTCACAAGAGTTGACATTTGGAACCGGCAAAGACATTATCAATCATGTTGCCTAAAGTGTGTCAGACACACTATCAAATGAATTTTAAACGGCCAATCTAATCTAAGCAAATCTTAGCATAAAAACGTCAAGTCATGTCACGAATTTTTTTTATTAATTTCAAATATTTTCGTATTGTAAATTCAGGAGTGTTCAGTAGTTTTTCAGACCATTCAGGTATTTACTTGTTTGCACAGGTAAATAACGAGAACTGAAGAGATCTTAAATGTCTACAAGCGATGTGTTTGAAAATCCTGCAAGGGATACGTCTGATGATATAGAGAATACCTGAATACGATTTATTAATCATTTGTCAGTAGCTGATATAGAAATAAGGAAATGTGGTATGATTAGCAATGAGACACAAGGAGGCGCCAACCCTCCCCTAACCTGTAACATTGTTGTAACAGTACAACATAAGAACAAACTATAAAAAAAAATAGTTGAAAAGAGCTTAACTTATCAAATCGATACCAAGCAGAAATACATCTTACGAAAACACAGACTGGACGTGGCAGGTAATTTATACATTCCTCACAACAAAACAGACACACAGTACATATGTGAGAGTACTCGCAATTACCGACAGCTAGTTAAAAGCTAATAACTAATAAAAAAAATCATGTTTCTAAGACTGAAATATCAATTAGTACACATCCTACATCCAATGGATTAAGCGTAAAGATGTCATCAACAGTCAGAGACAAACATGATCTTATGCAATGCCAAAATATAGGTATCGACAGATGGTAGTACCGTTAATGGGCAAATATGTATAATAAAAATATTTATTATGGTTTTAACTTACTGATAACAAAATCAATATTTATACCAATAAAAACTAATATTCAAATATCTAATTGCTGTCTTGAATTGTTAACTTTTTAGAACAAGTTTGTTTAATATATTCATAATTTTACTCTGTAAAAATTAGGATGTGCTATTAAGTCTGAAATCAGTTTTCTACAGGTACAGCCAAACTTTTGTATCAATAAAGATTTGTATTTAAGAAATCTGTGGTAACGAAATCCCTGACTTAATAATTTACCAGTAATGCATAGATAACGCTCATTGAAATCAACAACGTCAATACAGACACGGGCATAGCCAAAGAGTTGTGATATATAAACACCGTAAGACGGTGCAAAAGCAACATCACCATCTACAAAAGGATAATTAACAATAGGGAAAGAGAAATCGTCCCTGTTGTCGTACATTTTTGTGTAGTGATTCTTGTGTAAAGCTGAAATATCTAAATCTAGGAAAGGACAGTTATTGCTGTTAATATATGATTTATTTAAAGTAAGTTCCTTTGGGTAAAGTTTGGCACTATATTGATTATTCAACGAACAAATATCATCAAGATAAAGATAAGTGTTGTTGAATTTATCAATTAAAAGGAATTTAGCCGGGTTAATACTAATTTGGCCATTAACTGTGATCCATAACAGTGTAGGAACAAGTCTGCTACTAAAGGAAAACAACTGGTGCCCATATGAATACCTACAATTTGTGAATAAACTTTATTTCCGAAACGTACATAAAAGTTGTCATGGAGAAATTTTCAGCTTTAATCATCTCATCACACATCTAGTAAGTATATCTAGCATATCTACCTTTTCCATTGGAGAAAAAGGCTTTATATGAATTGGGTCAATATCCCTAATGCGTCTCAGAGTGAGGAACTCAATTATAAATAGAAATAAAATAATCTGTATGCAATGAAATTGGACATGATGCTAATTTAAGTAATTGACTGAGCTTAACCATTTGTGCTTTTTTGAAGAGCAGAAGACTGTACAATAAAGATGTAAAAACTTTGGAGTGTGTACAGAACCGAATTAAAAGAGAGTGTAAAAATAAGGACTTTTCACTTGCTGAAGCGGCATCATGATGCCTTTCGGGTTTGCCCAATTTGTGAAAAATTTAATCTCAATTTGTACCCCGAAAATTTAAACAAATGTGGGAAAATGTCTAAGCTTCGAAACGAGCCATCATACATATCCAAGTTTACGATATGGACAGAGGAATGGAAGAAAAGGCTACCATTGTCGCCAATCGAAAATGAATTGCACATCTTGACCCAAATTGTGAAAATTGTAATCCCTCATTGTACCCCGAAAATTTAACCATATGTCTGAAAATGTCTAAGCTTCGACACGAGCCATCATTCTTATCAAAGTTTACGATATGGACAGAGGAATGGAAGAAAAGGCTTCAATTGTTGCCTATGGGAAATGAATTGCGCGTCTTGACCCAGTTGCAGCAGATACATTTGCCAACCAAACCCTGCTTTGCTTTTCAAAATATTATTACATATAATATTAAAAGCCATTAATGAAAATCTTATAAAATCCTTGTTATTTTATCATAGTTTTTGAAAGAAAAAGGTGCCAATATTTAATGAATGAACAATCTAGAGAGAATCATTTCCTGGCAAATTTTCAGTGGCATATATCTTAAAAACAACCAAATCAGTTTTGCGTCCGAAAAAAAACCCCAAAAATGTTTACTTACACCATAATCAGGAAATTAGCGTTTGTTGACCTTTTAAATTATACCTACGTATGAAGTACCAAATGGTCCAGATTTCAAAGGCCTTAATTCATAAATCACTCTGTTATTTTAGTACAATATCTGAACGGACAATTTACAGACAAGATCAATTTCGTAGCTAAAATTCGTATTCAAGAAACTTCTTCGGAAAACTAATGTACCAAGTCAGGAATATGGCAGTAGTTTTTCACTTGTTTCATTGATTGATAGTGTTTGATATTGGCAGATTTTTTTAAAAATTTGCCTTGGAGTTCAATACTTTTGTTAGATATTTTTTTCTGAACGACCACATGCACATATTCTATTTTCAGTTGTCATTTGAATATTTTTATTGCTTGAATTTTCCTCGACCAGTTACTTATTTTTACCAGAGTTTAAGTGGGATTCCCAACATTGGAAATATATGTTTTAAATTCAAATAACTAGGGACACTGGTTATGCATGGTAATAGCTATAAGCAAGACAAAGTCATGGAAGATGTAAATATTATATCTAAATTCGTGAATCGAGAGTCGTTCATTTGAATAAGAACTTAAAAACATAATTGTATTATGAGTCTCCACTGCACTATATATATATATTAAATGACATCTTTTTTTTCCAATGACAAATATGGTTTTAACATCGAAAACAATTCCTTGAAACACAACATGTTTTTTACAAAGAGCGAATACCAGACAGCGAAATGTCTGGTTATGTTCTTTTGCAATTTCGAAGTTACGAGTAAGAATTTGGGACCTTCTTATCATTCTTCTAGGTCCCTGTATATTATGTATTTCACCTAATGTTAAATATTATATTATCGGTCGGCCAATGCTCAACGGAATCATTTTCTAAATATAGAAAAGTTATAATTTATTTCAACAGTTATCAGACCCGAAGTTACTATTCCTACTGTAATAGCGTTGTGAAAAAACTAATGGATTATAATTATAATATTACACATTTATCCTTTCAACAAGTTATCTGTATATCATTTATATTAATGTGGCAGCTTAACATTAACTGCCGACGTCGATTGATATAGTTTATACTTTTAGAAATAAAAATATGATTAAAACAAAAAAATATCAATAAGTAAGATAATAAACTAACATAATAATAAATCTAGATTTAAAAGGACGAAATAATTGGTATATATAGTGGATATTCTGCTTTATGACAAACAATCGGTATTTCTGAGTGACCTATCAACGCTACTCTGTGAGGATGTTTGTTTCTTTTTTTCTGTTGAGCCAAATTTCGTTATATTCATAAACGGACTTCTCAAATTAGAAAAATATGTTTGCAATACTCTTTCACTTTTTATTCCGCTATTACTATAATATCTCCACTGAATATTTCAAAATTTTGTGAAAATGTTGACTCTGTTCTCTCTCTTTGATTACGAAATAAAGGATTCCATAAACACATCTACGTCTGCTACATACATTCGTAATCATAATCTTCAAATCGACATCGAGGGACTTGACTATAAAATTTAAAAAAAAATTAAACGATTTTCAACGCATTTGTTTCTTGACAGGATTTTCTGTGAGAGATTACTACTCCAAACTAAAAAAAAAAAAAAAAAAAAGTGTTTAATGGTAACAGCACAAGTCATAGTTTTCCGGAAAACAAGATAAGTTGCACAATGACATTGACTGGCCGCTTCCAAAAGCAGATAAGTTCATCCCCGATTCATTGAAGTAAAACAGATTGAACAGAAAAGATTGACCAAACTATTATCAAGCCATGGTCAGTCTTGCAGTAAATTGTGTACGTATCAACTGCATTATAATCAGTTCTGTTCAAACAATTCACATACAGCTAATGTTTTTAGATTTAGACTTAAGATGATGGCTGTTAAAGTTTGATTTAACTTTCTAACAATAGGCTATTTTTTATTTTCCTTTTTGTAATGCTGATATCGATCCTTCTTCCACAAATAATTCATATTAATTCTTAGTATTGTCTTAATTTTTCATAATTTTGGCGGGTGGATGTTTGCATGACGAATTTGTTTTGTGAACATATCCAAATTTCGTTATATTCATAAACGGACTTCTCAAATTAGAAAAATATGTTTGCAATACTCTTTCACTTTTTATTCCGCTATTACTATAATATCTCCACTGAATATTTCAAAATTTTGTGAAAATGTTGACTCTGTTCTCTCTCTTTGATTACGAAATAAAGGATTCCATAAACACATCTACGTCTGCTACATACATTCGTAATCATAATCTTCAAATCGACATCGAGGGACTTGACTATAAAATTTAAAAAAAAATTAAACGATTTTCAACGCATTTGTTTCTTGACAGGATTTTCTGTGAGAGATTACTACTCCAAACTAAAAAAAAAAAAAAAAAAAAGTGTTTAATGGTAACAGCACAAGTCATAGTTTTCCGGAAAACAAGATAAGTTGCACAATGACATTGACTGGCCGCTTCCAAAAGCAGATAAGTTCATCCCCGATTCATTGAAGTAAAACAGATTGAACAGAAAAGATTGACCAAACTATTATCAAGCCATGGTCAGTCTTGCAGTAAATTGTGTACGTATCAACTGCATTATAATCAGTTCTGTTCAAACAATTCACATACAGCTAATGTTTTTAGATTTAGACTTAAGATGATGGCTGTTAAAGTTTGATTTAACTTTCTAACAATAGGCTATTTTTTATTTTCCTTTTTGTAATGCTGATATCGATCCTTCTTCCACAAATAATTCATATTAATTCTTAGTATTGTCTTAATTTTTCATAATTTTGGCGGGTGGATGTTTGCATGACGAATTTGTTTTGTGAACATGATATACAATGCATTTTATCTAATTGATATGAATTGGGATCAAAATAAGCAAAATTATATGTATAGGTGAAAGATACCAAAGGGAAATTCAAACTCGTAAGTCGAAAATAAACTGTCAACGACATGGCAAAAAAAGAAAAAGACCAAACGACGTACATACAGTATACAAAACACAACATAGTAAACTAAAGACTGAGCAACACAAACCCCACCAAAACCTGGTGTGATCTCAGGTGCTCCGGATGGGTAAACCCCGGAGATAAGTATACTTCGGTAGGTCACATTTTGGGAAAATGGGAGCTGGATTTCAGTTTCAATGATTGGAACAAATTCGTCGTCATCTGTGAATCAAATATTCCATAAAGTTCAGAAAACTCGTGATGACGTCCGTAAAAAACTCTAAGGAATGGTTTCAACTTCATCACTTGGAACTTTTGATTTGATGGTTTCATGATGAGCAGCAACCCTCTATCACGGAATTCATGATAGGAACTCAAGCCCTAGAGTATCGATTCAACTAGAAGATATATACTCCATATTCAGGCGCTGCTGGAATGTTGCTACATAGAAATGGAAAATTTACAATTGGGAAGCTGCGATCATCTTTTTCGTAAAGTTTTGTTCCCAACCGACCCTAATTGTCAATTTCTAGATTTAAGTCAAGATATTAGGCAAACTAACTGTTGCATCTTTTATTTCAAGTTTAATTGGATAAATGCGTTCATCATACGTTCAACATAGTCACAAACTTTGAAATATTTACTGAGATGATATCATGTATATAGCGGAAAGTGAAGTTAAAGGATAATGCTAGCTTCTTTACATTCTTCCTTAGAAGCTCCAGTTTGAAGTTGGCCTCGTATGAACAAAGGAACACGTCGGCAAGAAGTCGTACACAATTGTTTCCCACGGGAAGCCGATTGTTTGTTGAAAAACACGTCCTCCAAAAGTAACAAGTACGTTGTCAATGAAGAAATCAAGCATCTTGATAATGTCAGTTTCAGAGATTTTTTTGTTAGAATCAGAGTGAATTTTTACAAAGTACCATGTATCCATCCCTAGGACAAGATACTTGTATCTATGTTGGCCATTCTTTTTTTATGACACAAAGTAATTTGTCTTAAAGTTTGGCATGGGGAATTCTCGTGTAAAGTGTAGAAAAGTCAAATGTTTTAATTCCATTGCAAGATGAAAGATTGTGTGTACTCTAACAGATTATTTAAAGGTAATACATGGAGTTTTTATTGAATCAGTGCGTTCTATATTATAAGGATCAATACAAATAATGGTTCATAGTTTAAAACTAGGAAATTGTTTTTAATAACTTTTTTCTGATAAAAATTATTATTTCTTCTTTTTGTTATTGCGTCAATAATTTGCTACACCAATAGCATTAAACCCACATCATATTTTTTTTTACTGAATTTGTAGAAACATTTTGAATCAATACTGCAAAATCCTTCAAGATTATTATAAACATAAGTGTTTTTGGATTTAACAAAAATTGACAAACACAGTTTAAAATAAAAATTAACTATCATATAGCATGCCGTAAAGCCTGGCAAAACAATACACATTGTTTGCAAAGAGTACCATTCTATGACGATATCAGGACTAAAATTGACAAACAGATATTGCTTCTACAATTCAGCTTATTACTCCTTATTCTATCACGTATTTTATAATTTTTATTATATAATAAAATACATAACTGAACTTTAAATTTAAAGCTTTTAACTGCAATCATGCATACATTTAGCATAATCATTTAACTGGTTTGCACTGTGTTTATGTTTCACAGGGAAGGAAGTAAGGAAATGGATCTTGTTTAAGTTGTTATATGATACCCTTTCATGTATGTCCGGTGTTTTATTATGAAGTAAAATGACAAAACGGTAAGAAAAAAAATTTCCTCATTTCGAAGGCAACACAATTTTGTTTAATATTAGGAAAGTGAATATATTTTTTAGAAAGTAAAGAATTTCGAAATTGTTCATTTTGTCATTTTTATTTATAATAAAATTGACGTTGGGATATATGTACTTACATGCACGATAAAGTAGAATGCGCAGATTAGAACAATCTGAAAGCTAAAAAAGTAATTATTGTATTTTGTTTTTTTATTTTTCAAAATTCCGAATGACAAAATTTATGTTCATATTTAAATTAAATAGAGTCTGACTAACTTCCTCGTGTGGAAATTTCAAAATGTCATGATATTTGAAACTGCGACATTCGACGTATACGATGTTTTGTAAATACTATGAAAGATAATACTGACTCTATACTGACTCTATGTTTAAATCTAAAAACAAAATCCCAACTCACGTTGAATGTGATGTTTCTGTCCTAAAATAATATAACTGCAGTATGCCGGTGTTCATATATCATACATCGATAAAAAAGACAATTTTAGGTAACAAACAAAAATTTGAGAATGGCATGAAATCAGAAAGGAGCGAGAGAAAGTTCGTCGACAGGTTAAGTGTTTCCAACTATAAATGCATCTGACGAGATGCCAATCCACACTAGGTATTTTTGCTATTCTATTTTTTCAGTAAAATTGTCAGAATCAAATATAGGACACGATGTGTAAAATAACTATTCTGGTATCCAAGTCAGGGAAATAAATAGTTTGTTTTCTATTTGTTTTTTTTTTCAGGAATCCCATAATAGGGCCAAATCGTTAGTTGCCATTTCTTGAAACATTTTAAGTCCAGGTTCAATAAATAAGTCAATTGTAAACTATTTTGATATCTTATACCAGTTGTATAAGCCATTGTTTTACACATCATTACAGGAACTAGCATATAATAGGCACGAAGATGCCTCGAAAGAGTTGAATATTTTTTGTAATATTTCATAATTATGAAATGTAAGCTGAAGAACTCTTTTTACGCATGCAAACTTAATAAAACACGTTTACAAATAACTAAGTAACTAATACATATTAGCCAAACATGGACAGAATTTACACTAGCCGCAAAATGTTTTAATCACCAAATATTTTGATTCAATTTTTCAATTTCACACAAGTAAATGAAATATAGACTGTATTAACTTTGTGCGCCCAAACGGCTTCTCTAGATATACCTCCACTTATTTCAAGTAAATGTGCGTGTACTATAAAATGTGTTTAAATAACAGTAAACGTTCAATGATAAGTTAATATTGACATTAAAAGACCTTCAAACAAATAGGGATTTGAACAGCCCTTTTTGTAAGAAGGTCTTTTAATGTCAATATTAACTTAATAATTGAACTTTTACTGACTTACAAAACATCAAAAACATAAGAAAAGTACATAAAAACACGTACAGAAGCCTAACTACCCTGAATTGGACGTGTTTAGTATATTCAACTTAAATAATAGTTAAACAACAAATTTAGCAACAAAATACTGCTATAGGTAGTTTTATAAAATTAAGGGGTTAGTTTATATTTTTGAATTCCAACTTTTTAAAATAACGATTTTTATTTTATAAATGAGTAAATCGAAGACCTATACAGGCCTCATTTGTAACTGACAAATGCATGTTCTGTACAAAAACATCTTGTTATATATATTTGATGTTTTTGATCTGTCAGTAATCATGAAATAGATTCGTAAAAACCAGACCATATGAAAACAGTTAGTAAACTCTTCCAACAATTAGTTATCTTAATAGCTTGTTTCAAAACTCATAATCGAACAGACCTAGATGCATAAGGTCCTTCACAATATTCAGGTAAATGTCCATTTTGGTTTTGATTCTGTAATTTTCCTACTCTACGGTACATGCAAATGAAAAATAATTTATTTTGTCTGTTCATTCCAATTAATTAATAAATTTTGTTTTGTTTGGGTTTTTTTTATAACAAAACTATATCTGTAAACTTCAATGAAACAAAATCGTATTAAATAGCCTGAATGTAACATCTTTAGCGTCAAGTTATGTAGGCTTGAGAGGTTCGATCACAACGTGTATAGATGAGACATATTATCGCAAGGTTGATCATCATTCTTAATTTGAAATACAATGTATTATATCAAAACAAATACTTTTTTTTACTCGTCCATCATTTTCACGTCTAAATGAAGCATAAACACCCCGAAAAAAAACTTTTACCTTGCTTAGTTCAATAATCGCCTGACATAATCATATACTATAATTATCAATTATTGGCTTTTGACGAGGTCGATACGTTATATATGGACTTGGTCAGAGTATATTGACCGAGGATGAAGTCTGAGATTCAAAATTATCTAACTGGTCCATATATAACGTATTGACTGAGTGAAAGTTCTTAATTTATATATTACATATATAAATAGTGTAAGTTTGAAAATGATATTGACTCGATGTTATTTTTTTTGAAATCATATTGAGTCGATGTTACATTTCTCAGTAACATGTGATCAATATCATTTAAAAAAAAGTAACGTCGAGTCAATATATCAAAATAGTGAAAAAATACAAAAGATATATTGGGAAACACGTGACCAAATATATCGTAATTAAACAGATAAGAACCATAGTAAAGAAATATTGAAAAAAAAAATATATAAGTGTTCAGTTATGTAGTAAATTGCAGTAAATTGCAAAAATTGGAAAACAAAAAAAAAAAACATAAAAAACTTTGCACTATTATTGAGTGATTTAATAGACGAGTGACATTAATCATAAAATTTTATTTTTAATGCACCCACTTAACATACGGCTAAATCATATACCATTCGAAAGCACATCATCTACACTACCTTTTTTGCCCGGTCGTCAAAAATTCGTATAGTGCAGTTTCTGTCGAATCACAACGAAAGGTCAAGGACGGACAACTTCTAATTTTACAAGAAGTCAGCATTTTTTTTTGCATATTCTGTCTTCTGAATAATGATATTTTATATGGAAATCTGTTAGAATAGATGTTAATAGTAACTTATCAAAAGCCCTTTGAAATATTAATGTCGGATTTTTAATAAATAGCGCTGTTTTCCAGAAATTCCATTGAAAATGACAAAAATGCATGAAAATCAAATTTTATGTCTGTGACTGAACTGTTATTCACCATAAAACCAAATAACATATTTTATTTAGTGCTAAGGATGTTTTTGACATCATTAAATTACTGCAATTACGCTTCTTGTTCATTAAACAGCCAATTATAAAAACCATGTTGTTGCCCAAAATACCGCCATCTGCAAGAAAATAGCTTTTTTAGCTGTTCTTTGTTAAAAAAATTTGTCTGTAGTCGATATTATGTTGAAAAACACAAATTTTAAAAGTACAAAAAATGTTAAAGGATAGAATAAACAGAAAATTCGTGCATTTAGGGAAAATTTTGGGAGCGAAACTTTGATAATTCAATATTTCAATATATAACCAAACTTGGTTGCTTACACTGCATCTTGCATTGAATGAGGAAGTGAAAACAGCTATTATAAGCTAGCCACTGAAATGTTCTTCATGCCTGGCCAATATATTTAATCCTATCCAACTACGTAATTTCTTGTAAATAAATTGAGACTCTCGCAATTATATTTACTTACATTAATTTTTGAATTTGGAAATCTAGCAATTCGCAATAACAATACATACATTTCCATTAATCAAATTTACTCCCTGAATAGTTTACATATAAATACATTTTAATACAAAGATGATTGATTGATTGTTGGTGTTTGACGCAATTTTCGGTTTAGCACTTTTGGCTTCTAAAGTATTTTGCGGCGATCAGTTTTAAATGGGTTAGGTCCATGGAATGCCCAAGGAACCACCGACCTTCGGAAGGAAAACTGGCAATCCCCATCAACAATACATTAGTTATAGCTATTAGATTCAAGGACGAGGTTACTGTGTAGGTGTCACAACACAAATATACCAATCAGCATTGATCACCTTTTGTAAAAGTAGGCAACCTCTAACCAAACACAGCAGTGTAATGTTGATGTTTACTTCAGCTAAATGTTACAAGTAAAGTTTCTTAATAGAAACAAAAATATAAATGCATTTGAACCACTTTTATTTCAAATTTAATTGGCCATGGTTTTTTGCATTAAAATTTCAATGTAGATTTGCCACATAATATTTTCATTTTAGGCATTTAAAAAAAGCACGATCTACTATTTTAATAGATCATCTATTAAGCATTGGTTGATCATTGGCATATTAAAGATAGTACATGTATTTTAAGAATACATATGGTTAAAATGAGGTTATTTTATTCTAAAATATCTATACAATTGTGAGAAATGAAAAAATTGTGGTTGAACGTATCCAGTTTTTTAATTGGTTTTATGTCATCTGATCTTAAAGTATGTTCGTGGATATTTATTGTGCACTGAGCCCTCTGTTATTGATCTGACAGCGACTTTTTGCGATTTTCTCACTTTATTTTCATATTTTTCGGTTCAAGTTTCTAATGGTGCAAAGATCTCACAACAATAATAAGTGATATAAGTTGACATGAAAAAAAACCCGTACAAAATGATGGGTTAAAACAATCTGACTAAAATTAAGATCAATCACGACTCGCCTGCTCATATATTGCATGAGAATAACGAAATCAGAGAACTACATTTTAATAAAATTAGGGTTAACTTAATGAGATATCTTGAAGGCAGGTATGTCTGGTAAATTTAAAGCGATTACTGTTTTAGCGCTATTTGAATATGTCTATTATGAAACAAATCCCTTCACGTATAACCTCCATATGTGCACTTTGAACTTCTATAATTCTGCTATGCAATGTCGAAGGAATATTGCTCATTACAATTTTGAGACTCACATATGGATATGTGAAGGAAAGAACAATAGAAAAAAAGACGTAAGGACAAGATGATTCCTACATTTCCGCTATATCATATAAAGATAGATAGAGATGGGGAGAGAACTACGAGGTCTATCACAACTGTTTT